TGGCTGCCGGTGGTGCTGTGTGCCGCCGCCGTCTTCCTGGGCGGCGAGGTGCTGCCCTACTCCGTCTGCTCGCGGCACGGGCTGGCCATCGCCTCCCACACCCTGTGCCTCACCCGGCTGCTGATGCTGGCCGCCTTCCCCCTCTGCTACCCGCTCAGCCGGCTGCTGGACTGGGCGCTGCGGCAGCTCCGCGTCCTCCCCACGAGGGAGCGGCTGCTGGAGACGCTGCGCGCCGCCGGCCCCCACGGCGACCTGGTGCGGGAGGAGTTGGCCATGGTGCAGGGCGCGCTGGAGCTGCGCACCAAGGTGGTGGAGGATGTGCTGACGCCGCTGGCCGACTGCTTCATGCTCCGTGCCGATGCCGTGCTGGACTTCGCCACCGTCTCCGAGATCCTCCGCTCCGGCTACACCCGCATCCCCATCTACGAGGGCGACCGGCGCGACAACATTGTCGACCTGCTCTTCGTCAAGGACCTGGCCTTCGTCGACCCCGACGACTGCACCCCCCTGCAGACTGTCACCCGCTTCTACCGCCGCCCGCTCCACTGCGTCTTCAACGACACGCGGCTCGACACGCTGCTTGAGGAGTTCAAGAAGGGTGAGGCCGCTGGGCCGCCACCCCCCGGGCTCCCCTTGCAACCCTCTGCACCCCCAATGATTCCCAGGTCAGCAGCCCCCACGGCCCACCCCACACAGCCTTCTGGCAGGACCCGGCAGGTACCAGGGATGCTGGGGGGAGTTGGGCCCTGCATGCGCTGGTGTGGCGGTGACCCTGCTGTCACCTGGTGGAACAGCCCCCGGGTGGATTGAGGGCCCGCAATGCTGGTCGTGCCTGTGATGTTACGGAGACTGTAAGAGCCTTCGGCCTCAGAGGTTGCTGGCTCAGCGGGTGAGCCTGTCCCGCAGGGCTGATGCCTCTGCGGGGGCCTGGCAGCATGGGCATGGTGCCTGCCTCACACCGCTGCCCAGGCAAGGCAGCGTTCACTGCTCTGTTCTGTGCGGAGGAGTTTATGGCAGGAGATCACATCTTGTTACCTAGCTCTCGCGTTTTCAGCTTAGCAGTGGGAAGCAGGTCTAGAAAGTGTTTCTGTGCAAGTGGTTTAAAGGAAGAAGAAAAGCCTGAACCCTTAGAAAGAGCTGTACTTTTTTTGCAGCTGTGACAGTATTCATAATGCAGCAGCTGCCAGCAGCCCCTGAGATGCTGAGAGCTGTATTTCATTAACCATACTTTGAGAATACACACAGCATGTGGTTTTTTTCCCCCCACTGGGAATTGTGTTTTGCTGCGTGTTACTTGGTACGTCATACCGTGGTGAGTGAGTCTTTAAGAAATGGCTGCAGCGGTGACATCCTGCATTATGCAATGCGGGAGGACAGCGCTCGGCTCCTGGGCTGCCTGGGGCCACTCTGCCGCAAGCCGAGCTGATCATGTGAGAAAGGCCAGTCTGGTCCATCCCAGATACAGAGAAAGCCTCTCTGTGAGTCATCTCCATGCTCGTTTTTAGAGCTGGGAGGAGGGGAGGATAGGACGTTTCTTGTGGGCCGGGAAAGTGATCATCAGATACATGCAGGTCAGCATCCTCTCCGGAGATGCACAACTGTGTCCCCACCGCCTCCCGGGATCACAGGGAGAGGAGTTCTGTGTGGCACACAGCACCTACCCTCTCTGCCCCTCAGCACGACTGGAGACTCCAAACGGTGCAAATCAGCAAATTCCTGTTTTATACTGAGACTGTTAGCAAAAGCATTAAGATTACTCTCTAGGTTCAACCTTGATGAGCTGCAGTAGTTCCCCCCCATGCCTCTTATAACATAACCAGTTGTCTCTCCTCTTCCTAATTCCTTATGTGCTTCGCAGTTCCTTCTTAACTGTGGCTTCCCGCATGATACTACAACAATACTGAAGTTCACCTGAGGTCTCTGCTACCTCTCCCTTGTCTAGAGAGTTTGGTGCTACCAAAGATGTCAGATGACTTTGGCACAGTCCCCCTTGGTCAGCCTCCCCTGCACTTTATCTGATTTACTTTGATGTATTCAACTACTCCCCCCTCCAAATTGGTTCCACAGCCTGGTACCCTGTGGATCGATAGACCTATAGAAACAGACTTGTGGTTGCTTAGCTCACTGCCCTTTGCTTGCCGTCCTCTCTGCCCTGCTTAAACAGAGATGTTTTGTGTGTGTTGCTCCCTGAGCTGACAGGTTAACAAGCCTTGCTACCTGCCCTGCACTTTCACATGCTAGTCCTCATCTCAGATGAAGATTATCCATCCTTCTTCAGCTTTGCTCCATTAAACTCTTGGCATTTCGCTTCAGGCTCTTCCTCCCTTACATCTGTTTGCCATCATGGCCTTCTGGGGCGTTTTGCTACAGCCCCTGTGTAGAGCTCTCCCTAAAACTTACTTCTGTTCCTGCCTCATTTCTCCTTGTGTTTTCTAAATTACATGGCTGTAAATGCCTTGCTTTTGGTCTTAGTATCTAACTCAGCGTGGTGTTCAGCAATTCCAGCTCTTCCCCCAAATGTTCTTCTCCCCAGGTGTTGCTGTTCTCTTCTGATTCATCTTTCCCCTATTTGTAGGCATTTGGTCACCCCCAGCACCCTGTGTTTGTAGATATCCACCCCCCCAACCCAGCTCTGAACCCCTCCTAAACTCTCTTTTCTCAGTTGCAGATACAGGTTCCTGTGCCGGCTCCCGCACTGCGACAGACGTTTGCTGCCAGCTGCCTTCAGTCCCACCCACTGCCATTTCAGCCCCGTTCACTTGACTATTTAATTCCTAAAATAAAGATTTCCCATTTGTAATTAAGAATCTTCATCACTGTCTCCTTTTCTGTGTCCGTTTGAATTACGGTGAAGTATCTTGTTTGATCCAATCAAGGTTGCTTTCCATGGCTGGGTCTTCTGTGACACCTCCACTAATTAGAGAGTAGGCTGATTGCTTGTTGGTTCAGCAAGTGCTTAATGAAGGCATTCATCACTTCGCACATCCAAGGTGCCTGCAGGGCAGCAAATGTTCCCACTGATAAGGCCCAGGCTCTTTCTAGGAAATTAAAGTCTCCAGTAAGGATGGGCATTGATAACCACCTTCAGGTCCTTAGGTCCCTGACTAACGTCCAGAGAAATCTCGCCAGCTTTCTTCTTCTTCTCCTATGATTAACACAAACAGCTTTTGTATCCTTTATTTCTTTTTGTTATTACAGTGTTTCTACAAAATACCCATCACATTTTATATCTTTCTTTCCTGGATAGCAACGTATACTTCTGATCTGTTTCACTAATGATTAATGTTCTGCCACATTCACCATACCCATAATGTCATTTTTCTGCATAATGTATAAGTAACACAATTTCATTGCCATAGTACACAAACATTTGTTCTTTCTTACTGAAAATGTCAGGGGATGATTAAATACAGCACTCTGGGACTCTTGCTCACACCTCTGGCAGCACTTTCCCTTTTCTGCCTCTCCTCCTACTCACTGGTATCATACTGTATTAACCTTGTTTACCTGACGCATTTCTTTTCTCTCATTGCGCTATCCTAGCGATGAAGATGATCAGCTTTTTTTCCTCTCCGGTCTTTTATAGCAGGGTTTGAAGGGAAGTTTTCCTTCATTGGTTTCTAGGTATGGTCACACCTAACCTCGTTTGAGCTCAGTTCCATTAAGATGCATTGATGTTTGCCTTGAGTTTAATCCAGAGATGAGTTGCAAATCCCCTCTCCCTCAGCAGGACCCTGTATAGATGGGATTACCCTCCATGGACCTGGGGAAGGGCACTTCTGTAGCATCAGCTTGTCAAAACATTTAAATTGTATGAAAATAGTAGCGTACACTTCAGTAGCACCTAGGGAGCTAATGGCCCGGTGTGGTTACAGCACCCAAAAGCAGCTGTGAGCTCCTGGCTGACAAAACCTGGCCCCTGCCCCATCACAGCAGAACTGGTCAAACTCTTCACATCTGCTCTTCACAAGCCTGCTGCTGCTGGCATCATTCGATGTCTCTTTTGGCACTAATTCCTGGAGAAAGGTGGTTAAATTGGGGGCGCTAATGGGAACTGGGAAAAACCCAGAGAAGGCTGCAAACAGCAGCAGAGAGAAGGGGCCGGCCTGCAAGCGGATAGCTTGGACTTCAACCCACAGCCTGAAAGAGGAGGGCAGCTGCTAAAACTGTATTGAAAAACAGCATTACAGCAGCTTGAGGCAGGTCCAGCTGAAGGTGGGAATTGCTTATGCTAGAAGATGGTTTTTGACTTGATTTCCTCATCAAAACTCAGTGAAATGAACTCAAATAAAGAGTGGGCACCCAGTTTGCCATCTTTTCAGGTAAGCTAGACAAGGTCATTATAGAAGGCATTCGTAGTTGTGCAGCATGTACACAGAAGTACTAAGTGGAGGACACTACACAAAATCTGTCTCCTTTCTTCTCTAGAGACAAGAAAGTGCACACCAGTACAGTAACTTTGTCACCTGCAGCCTGAAAGAAGCTGAAACTACTGAAGGAGTGAAAAAAATCGGAAACAATTTCTTGGCAATTTGTATTGGTGCATCTCAGAATACCTGGTTTTATTCTAGGCTCCCAGGAGGAATTATCTAATACAGCAGAGAAATAACTGCACCATATTTAGCAAGCTAAAGCAATGTAGAGGGGCAGATGAGGTCCCAGTAGGATAAATTTCACCTTGGGAATATGGAGCTAGGAGGAAAGGTTTATGCATTCATTCAGTGTGAAATGCTGTGGGTGATGCAGTCTGTTTCTCCTCCATCCCTAGAAGATAACTGAAGCAATGCATGTTGCAGCTTCAGTCCTGTGATATAACTCCTCACGGGGGCTCTTCCATGAGGTCCACCGCCTTATTCTGTGGGTGCCTTTGGGAAGTCATAGTCTTATCCCATTGCTCAAGTCATTTATGGATTTTGTTGACTAATTTTTTGGCAGGTCCATATATAGCAATGACACCTTTCAGCAAATAACCTTTCTCTGTCAGAGAAACAGTGGAAATTTGCTCTTACATTCATTTCAGCAGGGCAGAGGCTGAGGTGCAACTCAAATTAGCCTTCTGTGGTTTGGCGTCTTTTGAAAGTTACTAAAAGTAAATTCTCCAGAAACAAACTTCCTGGCTTAGCAGGGAAAACAGCCTGTCCTGCGGAGGACAGTTCTGCCCTGGGATCTGTCTTTGCTTTTCAAAATACTCCACAGCCTCTACTAGACTTCTACAAATTGAATGTAGCTGGAGAAGGTGCTTACACTTGCCAGGAACTGAGGTCAGTACCATTTCAGCTGCTTTTCTTGCTGACCTTCTCCTGAGCCTGCAGTCATTGCAAGCACAAAGCATGGCTTGAAATTTAAGTCAGCCTTCAAGAGATTTCTGCAAGTGTGATAGCCACTATCTTGGACACCTTGATGGGCTGAAGCAATGACCTCCCTAGCCAGTTGTATGGGTTAAGGAGCCGGTTGTTACCCAGGAACTCTCCCGTACATGTGCCCTGAAGGGCGATTTCCAGCCTGAGAGTGGGTGAGGTGCTGATACACAAAAGATGGTTTCAGTGACTCATGCTGCAACTCTGCCGGAAACATTACTTTGCTTTCCCCCCAAAATTA